TCTCCCTCCCCCCTCCCTCCCTGCCATTCTTCTCTCCTTCCAATTAAAACAAAATATTAAATGTAACCTTATTAGATATAATAAATTCTAAATTTTGGGTTTTCTCCCCTTTCTTGCTATTTTTTTAAAATTATAAATCTTTTCCTGACCACAAGCAAGAGAATTGCTATAGTTGTTACGAGTCAGTGCCCTGCTTTCAGACAGGAGTTCCTGTCCCAGTTCCAGCGCACAGCAGTGCAGTGGCCACAGACACATGTGGCCCGGAGAGGAGCTTAAATGAGATGATAGACATGAAGTGCTTACATAGCCTGACACACAAAATAACTGCTCGTTGTACTGATAGTTAAGAATCAAAATCATCGTGAAATACAATTAAGGCTTTAAATTTTATATAACAGTTGAATAAAATAAGAATGATGTAGTTTTGGAAGAAAACAATTCTAATGATTAGTATCTATTTAAATCTAATATTTTAGGATTCTTTAAAAAATAAACATTAACATTTCTTACTACTGTGCCAATTGAGTGATCATTATAGTCTATCTTACATTAAAATTATTTGTGTCTGTTTTATTGCCTGTGATAGATTATAAATTCTTTCCAGTCAGGGGACAAGTCTTATAGTTAGATTGGTTGGAGTATACCCCCTGGAGATCTTGGGGGGGGGATTGGAGGTAACCAGAGATGGGGACCCCCTTTTCTGAACTTCTGGAGAAGCCCTGTTATACTGCCTTGCTAGGGGAACACTGAAGGAATGTGAACAGTGACCAAATGACTAAAAGTGGGAAGGGTACATTTATTTACTATTTTTTTAAACACCCTCACCTTGAAGATATGTTTTGATTGATTTTAGAGAGAGAGGAAAGGGGGGGGAGTGAGAGAGAGAGAACATCGGTGTGAAGGAGAAACATCGATTGGTTGCCTCTTACATGTACCCTGACTGGGTGTTGAACCCACAACCTTTTTTGGTGTCCCAGACCATGCTCCAGCCAACTGAGCCACCCAGCCGGGGCTAAATTGTGCATTTTTAAAGATTTCATTTCCATGGAGTTTTTACCACTGAAACTTTTTTTTATTAAAACTACTTTTAAGAGTATAAAAAAAAAACACATCATCTTATAATTTACAAAGCACGTTCATCTCATTTGAACACATTTATAGATGAGGAAAATAGGGTTCAGAAAGTTCAGTAACTCACCATGATCTGAGCCAGGGCTAGTTCTTTTCTTTCCTCACTTAGCAAATTTGGGAACAGTGTTGCCTCTGCCTTTCTGGCAAAGTTGTTACAGGGTTTAAAGATATTGCTCTGTGTGTGTGTGTGTGTGTTGTACTTCGTAGATTCCCCTGAATTATGCCTCCAGAGAGCACAGAGCATTTTGCGCTGAAACAGCGTCCTGGGGTTCTTTGAGGACCTTTTCAGTTTGGGATTTATGTGTTAGTTGTACTTTGTGGTTTTACTCAACAAAGTATCACTAACTTAAATTTTTCTTCATTTTCTATTCCTAATTCCTGACAGACAGCCTCATAATCGTGACCTGATAGTAAAAGTAATTATCAAGGAGCGTTGAGTTAGGTTTTCATTTAATATGTTTGTGTTCTTTTTCATTAACAGTCTCTGATATTTGATGAAGTGGACCTCTCAGATGCCAGTGTAGCTGAAGCAAGCACAAAAAACGCTAACAACAGTTTCACGGTATGGTTATATTTTGCTAACTCCCTACTCAGAAGTTGTAGAGTGGCCTTTCCTCACATACCAAGAATGCCCTTTTCAGTTACCAGCTGTGCGTCGGCCTATGCTTGTTGGAGCTCTTGGCCAACACAGTAAACGTGAGAAGTACATTGGATACCCTGGCACCCAGCACCATTCATGATTGTAATGTTAGTGGTGTAAATTTTTCATCTTCTTTAAATGTAATACTTCAACCAATTCCATCATTCTTGAATATTCGAAAAGTTTGTTTTTTAACTTCAGTCTCAAAAATAATACATTCTCCTTCTCTTCAGCTTTTACTCTAGTTGTGTGTGGCTCAGACAGTTGCTGTAGCTCAGGCCGTCTTTTCTTCTCACATAGGTAATTCATTTGGTAGCTATTTAAGAGGTGTCCTGTGTCCGTTTAATTATTTTCCTTTCTAATCGCAAATCCCTTTGCTTAAAACACTTCACTGGCTTGTCATTGCCTGTCAAGCTTTGTCTCCAGCTGCAGCTTAAAGTCTTATCGAACAGCGCGCTTCAGTGTTCTCCTCTTGGCGATAATTATTTGACTCCACACACTCTACCAGTCCAGCATTTTTGTCTGTGCCTGTGCTTTTCCTATTCCCTCTGACTTACATGATTCCTCCCCCATCTGTACCTGTTGAAATTTTACCAGTTCTTCAAAGCTTACCTTGGATATTCCATTCCTCTTCTACTTCTTTGATTCAAAAATATATGAATTCACTCCCCTGTGGATTGAGTACTGTGTGCCAGGCTCTTGTGCTGAGCACAAGAGATTCAGAGATGGATGGATGGAGTGAAAAAATATCACTTCCCTTTAAGATACTTATAGTAGAGTTCAGTGAAGTTCATCTGTGCTTCTTTTTATAACTACATACTCCTTAGGTCCTCTAAGATGCATTGCTCTTGGTATGTAGTTGCCACCAGTCCCTGCTCTAGGGAGCCACTGCTGCTGACTGCAGTGTGTTGTACCCATCCCCAAGGCATGCCAGGCAGGGAAGACAGACAGATAAACAAATACAGGGGCAGGGCCGTGATAGAGGTAATTACTGGTAGGGCTGGGGGTTGGGGAGGAAGCAAATGAGTTCAGATTTAGTCTTATTGATTTATGGGTTTGTGGGATAACTCATGGTGAATAATATTCCTTCCCTTCCCCTGCTCCCCCCCTCCCTCCCCGGGGACAGTTTAGTTTGAGAAGAGGAAAGCCAAGAATAGAATCCTGGGAAAATGTTAAAATTTAAGGTTTGACCAGTAAAGACTGAGAGAGAGCATTATGAAGTATAGAAGGAGCGTCAGGAGGCAGTGATGTTATAAAAAGCCAGTGAAAGAGAGTTTTAAGACGGAAGTTGCTAAACATCAAATACTGTTGAGAGGTCAAGTCAAAGGAGAAATGAAAATCGTTTGTTGAATTTGTTAGCTCAGAGGTCATTAAGTCACAGTGATGTGAATCGTTTCAGTGGCGGGTGGGATGCATCGGGCTGCCCTGAGAATGCAAAGTGGAGAGGCAGAGGGAGCCAGGGAGGTTGCCTTTCCTAAAACCTTAGCCCTTAAAGGAGGGCCAAGTATAGCTACAGGAATGGTCAGGCCTGAAGAGAGGGTTGTGGTTTTATTGCTCTTTTGCTTTGTTTTTAAAAAGGGTTTTGAGTGTGTATGTATGAGGAGAGGAAAGAATGGTTAGAACCACAAGTCACAGCTTCAGGAGAGTGGGAATGACGGATGGAGCACGATCGCTGAGCGAGCCGAAGAGCGAGGGGCCTGAGCTCAGGCTAAGAGGTTAGCGCCCAAAAGAAGACAAAGTGTGTGGAAGTAGATGTTGGCAGGAGGTGCATACATTTCGAACCCAAATACTAGTATTTTCTCAGTGAAATTGAAGATGAGGTCACCTGCCTTAAGAATTTAGGAGAGTTTGGAGTAGCTTCTGCTGACCGTGAGAACTGAAACTGAATGAGGATCTGTGGAAGGTTAACTAGGTAGCAGGTAGGTATCCACCAGAGATTGGAGATCAGGTTTAGTAATGTTCTTAATTCTTAGGCCTGTGGCATTTCCTTTAAGATGGGGCTAGAGAACAACTAAGTTGATCCAGGGTTTATGGTTTATAGGGAATTTGGATAGAAAGAGAAAGGGATTGTTGGATATTTGGGGGATTAATACCTCATCCATCTGCCCCCTCTGAGTTCTCAGATTTTGGGAATGAAACACAAGTGCTAAGGGACAGCTATTAATGGCTGACCAGGCTCCAGTAGCCACTAGATACAGAGATTCTGATAAATTGCTGGAGACCCAAGGCCGAGATGGTGGTGGTGGTTCTTTCCTCCCAAGTCAAGGTGCGGTAGGGCGATCACCCAGTCACTTGCCTCCCCTGGGGAGTGAACAGTAGTCCTCTCCCCTCTGTGGAGACTCATGGGGTGGGAGGGGGAGGTAAGGGTTTCCTCCCAGCACAGATCTAGGGTTTAGTCTGAAAGAGGGTTCCAGCGTTTAAGCTTTGAAGGCTGGAATAATTTCAGGTGAAGACAAAGTATAGGGTATTGAAGTAGATAAAGGTGACGGGAACTGAGAAGCTTGTCTCGGGAGAGGCTATTCAGATTCTTTGTACAGCTCTTTCTTGGACCTCCAACTGCACGCAGTCTCTCCTGTTGTTCCTTTCTTATAGAATTTACTATATTGCCTTGTGTTTAGATACTTACTATGTTTATTATAACCTCCTTGAGGCCAGGGACTGTGTCATATCTTTTTACCTCATATTACCTTATCCATAAGTATTTGTTGATTTAATTCATAAGATGAAAGTTTATGTTAGACATGGGAAGACACTATGTTAAAGTGTCTTCAAGAAAGTTCTTCATTCAATCAAACTTTGTTTCTGAAGTTTGCTTGGATTAGAAATGTGGAGACTAAAATGTTAGGCAGATTGCTTAGAGTTTTACAGCAAATCAATTTCATAGAACTTTCCAAGATATAAAAAGGAACAAGAGATATGTCTTCCATCAGTAATTTACAGTCCTCCCTATCTTTAAATATTTAAATATTCCACCTTGCTGGATTACAACGACTGCTATTGAGGCTGTTATTGGCTGGCTCATGTCAGAGGTTAATGGTGTAGCTTGGTGGTGTGGTTGCTGGGGAATCTGTGAATGGCCAAATTCTGCTTCTCCACAGCCACTTCTCCTCTCCTTGAAGTCCCTAAGGATGATATACTAACACGGGACTGTAGAAATAGAAAAATCTATAATTAGTAAGTGGAAAGTGGAAAAGCTATGCTTCCCCTGAAAATCCAATGCCAAGCTCTCTAGTACAAAGGGTTCTAGAGTGAATGTTGTAGGGAGCCGGACAGAGGCTGACTTTGCCTGGGAAGTCACTCAGCATCATTTCTGCTGCATCTATAGGCTATGAGCAAGCCACCAAGGCTGGCTGAGCTCCCGGGGAGGGGACATTACACACCATGAGAGTCCTGCCAAAGGCTTTGCTGACGTGGTGAACACCCACCTACACGATGATTAGGTTTCCTTTCCTGCACAGTCCAATGCTCCCATCCCTGGAGTTAAAAACTGTCTTGTTTTTGTTTTGGTTATCTAAATCACCTCAGATATTGTGTTAGTCTTCCGTTGCTTCATAACAAAGTACCGCAAACTTCATGGTTTAAAATGCTGCCCATTTATTGTCTCATAGGTTTTTTTTAAATCTTCACTCACAGATATGTTTTTATTGATTTTTTTTTTTTTTTTTAAGAGAGAGGAAGGGTAGAGAGAGAAAGAGAGAAATATCTATGTGAGAGAGAAACATCAATTGGTTGCCTCCGGGACTGAGGATGGAACCCACAACCTTTAGGGGTATGGGCTGACGCTCCAACGAACTGAGCAGCCCGCCAGGGCTCTCTCACAGTTTTGATGGTCACACAGCATAACTGGGTTCCTCTGTACCAGGTTCCACAATGTTGGAATAAATAGATACGATAAATTTTTGTATATACTTTTAAATTACATTAAATTGGGCTAATTTTGACCAAGGTTTGAGTTTATGATTTTGCAAGTGTCTTTTGCAATAGGCAACAACCATGATTGACATTGAAAACATTTTCTGTGATATTAGGAGACAGTGATGTGACGGGGAATGGAAAAAGACAATCCTGCCCAGCCTTATTGGCATTTTATAAACTTTTAGGTTAATGTTCATCATTAATTCATTTGTAATTTAATTTCTGCCATGGCATTGTCTATAATTGTGAAATATATAATACATTCTTAATTTTTTGTTCATTTTTTAATTGTTCATTTTGTTTTATTTTATTGATACCTTCATTGTGTTTTAAATTTTATTTTCACTTAACATTTTTATCTTTAACATACTTCTGTGCTGTATGAGAATGTGTTCTTGTGTTAGACTGCAGAAAAGAACTGACTTCTCCTCGGTCACACTGGTGCCTCCTGATGTTTCACCCAGGGCTCTTCCTATCACGCAATATTCTGTTGACAGTATGTAATAAACCCCTAAAAGTTTGGGATTTCCAAGGAGAATGTGAATGAAGTTTATCTTGAGAAAATATTTCATTCTGTTTTTCAGAGGGACAGTGAACATTTTTTTCCTTTTTAAGTCACATTAATACGTGTTATTGGGAAAAGCAACCATTCTGTAATGAATGACTTAAAACCATTCCTTCTTACGTAAAAGTTATTTACTAAAGAAGACCTTTTAATGATTTGAAAGTCATCAGCATCACATGGTATACGTTAGGCTTCCAAAGCATGCTGTTCCAATGACGAGACTCTTTTTTTTTAAATTTTAGTGAAGGTTAGGCTGAACCTTAAACAGATCAGTCATCATCTTAAAGAAATTATTGTACTGACGTTGTTAAAACTCCTTACTGGAAGTTTGTAAAGAAAGCATTTTTTTTGAACTAGAAAGAAATACAGAGGTAATTTGTTTGTTTTTTTTATCCACCCTTAACATTTCTGGTGAATTGAACTATCTGCAGCTTTGTGTGAA